AACCAAAATCAAAAGTCAAAAGTAAGTCTAATAAAATGGAGATTACCTTGGTTGCCATGGCAAACCTCTGAAGCAAAATGAACAAGGAAATGATAAGATACTGGAAAAACAAATATTCCCAATGGAAAATGTAAATGACATTCCAGCAGTTTACTCTAGTTAAGCATTAAGCAGACAGGGGGTAGAACTAAGAGCACTATATATAATGTCAAGTCTGTTTTGCAGACCAATATGCAAAATAACTAACACAGTGTAAATGGTAGTTTGTTACTGCTCCCATTCAACAAAATAACTGTTATTCAGGAGATTTGTTTTTTTCATATAAGAAGCACCCCCTAGCATGAGATTTTATACTTTATGATTACTGAAGTACCAGTTACAGCAGCTTTTATCCCCAAATAAAACCAGGCTTTGCTTTTATGTGCTCAGCATTGGCAGAATAGAGAAGCGGATGGAAGCCACTGAAACATGATTTGCATGCATCACACAGGAGTTGTGCTGCAATGACATTAGAGGAAAACATTTTGTAGACTGAAAAGCTTGTCTGCAAAACTGGACTGCAACACAGCTTCTCTATTTAAGTGACAAGTATATTCCGATTCGTGATATTGTGAAATGTGGCACTGCACACCTAGTGTGTTGCTTCAGTAATGTGCGTCACACTCCATAAAATGTAACGGTTAGGATCATTGTCCCCTTTAAGCACTTCTGTTGCCCTTTTTGATCATATGAGTAAGCGTGGCAAGAGAGAAGGAGGGTGGGTATGGATTCAACAATGCATTATGTGTTAAAGCAGAAAAAATGTACTGTCTGATTTTTATAGAACAGCACTCAAATGTGTATTAACGCTTTATTTTCTCTTTTTTACCTGTTCCTGGTAATTTGTTTTCATCTTATTTCCTTCTCTTGCAGCAAGTGATACAAAAGAATCCTTTTAAAAATGTTTTAAAGTCTACTTCTTAAACATTTGAAATATCACCATACAGTATGTTCATTAGAGAGATGTGATGTGCTGTCAGCACTCCTTTATATATCAAAAACAGCATTAAGCAGGAAGGAGGTCCTACACAGGAAGAGCTTTATGATAGTGTAACCCTAAGTGCATATGAGAGAGATAGTATCTTACATTTGGTCAGAAGTGGTAGATGTGTTTTGTGTTTCTTTTTGAATGTTTTTTTTTGTCTGAATAACGCTTTAATGTAAGTGATACGGCAGTAATGACACATTTACTATATGACAGTTGCAAAAAGCAGTTGCTTGTGTAATCCCAAACTGAATTTGTATCTGTAGTTCACCTCACGGAGAGTATTTTCACATGTGAATGATTTGAAATGGACAGCAATGCTTCCTGAAAACTAATACCACAAAACCTCTCTCCTTTGCTCTGATCATTGGTAGCTTTCGTGCTGCAGCAGCCTGTGTGCTTGTGATAGACAAGGCTGCTCACAAAGCTCTTCTCTGCAGCCCATATTGTGAGAGCAGATGTGAGACTTGGCAAGCCATGCTCTTTCACACTTCTCAGTTGGAACACGGAATAAGTTTCTACATACTATCAAACACTGGGAAAAAAATGAAGAGGCTGGAGACTGTGTCCAACTTTGCTCCACCACAGACATTACAGATTTTAAAAGGAAATAGGAAATATAAAGAACAGTGACAGACAAATGAACGTTTTTTTATATGAACATCTCTTAAAGGTTAGCCAATAGTAACATATATTTTAGCAATTGTGCTCAACATCCATTAGTATATGAATGTTATCAAATCTTCCCTTTTTTGTCTTCGGCATGAGAGAGGTAGAAACAGCTGGATGAACTAAACTGGCCTGACTGTATCCACTTGGAGAGAAAACACATCATTGGTTGTAGATCTGCTAATTAGGATACATGACTCTTCTTTTTCTTGGCTATTCTAGTTTACACACACAGTATTGCACATTCATTCATTCATTTTTACAATTAAAAACAAATGTATGGGTTTTTTATATAAACCTATTAAACACCACTTCTGAGCACCCATGGTCTCAATGATTGTATGCAATGTTTACAGTCTTAAATACATTTTGATTACTTTTCTGCAATTTTGCAGTTCTGTTCTCTTTTTTCTGGCTAAAAGTTTTTGTTTTGTTCTTTTAGAACAGCCAGTGCCAGGGTTTGAATTATGTATGTCTACGTACTAACAATTACATAACAATATTGTAATATGAAGCTGTTCTATAAATGTGTTTTTTAACTGCAAACATCAAGTGTATGAACATACAGTAGCATCAGTCATGGTTTAGAATAGATTCTCCCAGAATTTCAGATTCAGAGAAGCCGAAACAAGTGATAATCCAGGTCAGATGGAAATGAGGTGACTGTAGAAAACTTATCAGACAGAATCATGTTGACATGACATAAAAGATATCTGTGATGATAATCCTATGTGAATTCTGTTCAGTTTCTGGTTAGTGATATCGGCACTTTCTCCCTCAACTTTGCCATGGGTCATTTGTTCTCTATTTCTCTGGTCATCTTTCATTTATTGATACAAAAATAAAATTCAAGAATATATCTATCTGTCTCTCTGCGCACATATTTGAAATGTGTTAACCACAGAAAATATGAAGGTATCATGTTTAACTTCATTTCGTATCATAACCACCTGTTTTAGGTCTATAATTAGTATGGCGGTATGTCTTAGGCCATGGTATATGGTGTGTGTGTTAATAACAGAGACTCACTGACCAGATACAGACCTCATGTGTAAACTTCTTTAGATATGCTCTTCATTTGGTATGACTCTAAAGCCACTTTTTAATTCCTTTTAAGAGAATAAAACAATTCTTAGATATAGATACTGTGGTGTAGGTTCATAAAATCCTGTAACAGATTATGTTGCATTTTAATCTTTCTACTCCAAGGCTGCGACAAAAAAAAAGGAATGCGACAGTGATCACAACAGGAAGCATATTTCAATTCAAAAAGCAATTACATCAAGCAATTGTGCATGGATCGATGTGCTCTGCAGCACGGACTGCAATTTAAATTGAACATTCCCTCCAAACTGGGAGCTACACATGAGCTACCTTTTGCCATGAGTGGTTTTAAATAAAACTTCTCCCAGGCCCACTCTTGCAAAGCTGCAGATGAGGTGCAGACCACAAATCCCCTGCTTTTTGTTATCAGTGGTGTTCAAGAGTCTTGCACAGTTTACATCATAATCAATACCACTCTGTGATCTCTGGAATTGAGGTTCTAGCACCCTGAGTTCCTACAACCAGAAAAGAACAGTATTGGATTGCACCTTTCAGATGTCACTCTCAGAGAAACAATCTCAGAAACCCGGAACAGGATTTTTCACTTATCAGCATGCTGTTTATTGATATATTTCCTTGCAGTGTTGGCACAAGGGCAGAAACCTTGCTTACTGTATGTATTATACATGCTTTTGCAAGGGATTGTGCATTTAAAGGAGTCAGTGGCTATTATTTATACAGTAGATACTTAAAATGTTTGACAATTTTGTTTCATTGATATTTACATGTGTTTATCCCCCTTTATCCCAAGATATCACATTTTGGCCGGACAACCTCTGACCTGTAGCATTATAAATTTGAATACCCAGCCCCTAATCCTTTGGCCTTGTAACATAATTCTCTTTCTAACGTGTAGCTTGGATCTGTAAATATGCTATGAGTCTTGTTCTATGACCGAAATGGAACGATAAGGTTAAAGGGAAAAAGTGTTGTATTAATGCTTTAGACGTTAATACAAGAGTTGCATAAGCCCCTATTTGAAAAAAAGAATACATTAAAGTTTGCTGCTCAGGGCAATTCAAAAGTAGCTCTAGCAAGTTCAAAGTTTAAGTAACCAAAAAATGAATAGTGCAATATTTTCAACATAGCTAATTTAGCTGAAGGACCAGAGTTGTGAAATAGTGTTCAGGGAAGATCACAGTCAAGCTTTGAGGTATATCACAGGCAAAAAGATTTTTAAGGAATCCTGGCAAAACAGTCAATTGATGCCGAGGGAGCTTAAATGTCAGAAGAGAGCTTTTCGTTGTTGAATTGTCAATGAATGCGGAGGAGCTTTTGGGTGAATTCCTCAAAACAAAGATAAACTGAGAGGTTTTAGTTCACTCAGTTTTTGATGAAAAGCACTTGTCTTCAGATATTATTTTCAACATACCTAATGCTATGGAGGTGCTGTAGGGGAGTAGCCATTGGGAACAAATTTGATTTGCAAATAATGACAAGTAGGAAACAAAGGTAGGTTTATACCCCTGTAGGGTTGATTTGCAAGAAGAAATAAAACACTGCAACTGCTTTACAGCAGCAAAAATCCCCAGTAAACAAAGTAGAAGAGAAAATTTATAAAATTTCATATTACTTATTTTTAGGACACCTTAAAGGCTTGGTGTTTTGTATACTCATAAAATAATAACATTAACTGCTGCACTGCCCTATAATGTGAAACAGCCTGAAATCATTGTCTTATGGTCACTGTATACTCAGTTATATTCTATAATTATTATGTATTGGGAATATTTTTAGATTGATCTCATCAGTACTGTAAGACATAAACATTGAAAACAAAATATTGTGTTCATTATCCATTTGGGCCACCTTGATGTCTTGAAAAACATATTTTTTATACCAACTTCAGATTGTTTTTTTCTGAGATTGTTGAATGTCTTTCAAATGCCTGTACTGGGTCCACACAAGGAAAAGAGGGAAAAAAAAACTTTCAGTGCAACTCCGCTTTCCATATTACATTCAAGGTCACCTTTGCGCAGTGAAATCATGACTGCCTTTCTACTGCAAAATGCAATCTGCTGCAGTTCCATGTGTTGTGAAATCGCAGCTGGTGCTGATTGGCAAGAAAGTTGCAAGCTTTTCTTGTCTCTTGTTTTATTCAAACACTGAGTTGGTTTGCGAAGGCTGTGTGATGGTCACTCCCACAGAGGAAAACCGCAGGTGTTTCCTCCTAACACTTTACATCCCCTTTTGTCTTCATCAGGAAGCAAGAGCAAAAAGAGGTATGCACACACCAGCATCTAAGAAACAACTTGGAAGCCCTACCAGCAGTTTTGCAATGGACCAGAAAGACTGCCAATCACCTGAAGACAAATTGTGCCCAAAATCGAGCCTGGACACCAGCAAATGTGAGGATAAATACATCTCTTAAATACACTTGTGATTTCTTAATGGCACCTTGCATACTGGCTGATTGCTGCTGCTTATGAGTGACTACCGATTACAGCCTATGCCACCTAAGCCAGTGGCAGAATAAAAATTAAAACAGAAAGTGGTTTTCAAGAAAATTTGCTGTAGTGCAAATCTGGCTTCCATTTCCTGAAAGAAAAGTTTTAAAGTCATGCTCTTAGCTGTAGGCACTGCAGGTATGGGAAACAGTTTTTTTAAATTAAAGTTTATCAGAAATTTGAAAAACCAGAGCAAATTTTACAGCAGAGCAAAAGGCTTTGGAAAAGGTTCTGCTGATGCAGACTGTCCTGTTTCTAAAATTGAAATGGAAATAGGTTATAATCTCTTAAAACAAAATACTAAATTAAGATTAGAAACTTAATTTTTTAGCATATTATGCTAATATGTTCCTGCATTTTTATTTATAGGACAGATTTTTGAAGCATACCAAAGCAAACATGCTTATAGAAACCACTTTTACTGTATTTTAGAGTTGCTACCAAGGTATGCAACATACATACACTTGTAGGCATAGGCAGTGTTTGTTTAAAAATGAATGATCTCAGACTCCCAAGCTGTTTCTCTGAAATAAATATTCATGAGGTATGCACTCCTCTGTTCCAAATATATAATAAAATATCTTGCTTTTTTGATGAAGAGACTGCATCTCCTTTCTTTGATTTTCTTTGATTTGCGCATTAAACATTAAGATTGTGTTGTTTTCTAAGACATTTTTTTCTGCTTTTGAGACATTTAACTCCCCTGTTATAATAGCATATTGTTTTAACTGATTAATTCTAATGAGGGCTCCCTGAAACCTTCAGACTCTGCATATTGATTGTGTTGAGACAGTGTTTGCAACAAAAACAGTTGTTCACAGGGGTAAGGTTCATTGCTTTGTGGTCTTCAATGATGATAACTTCTGACAGATTTGGATTTACTGGTTGAAGACAATAAATTGAGATGAAACCATGAATGCCCCTTTCTCCCCTGCATTTGTCATAGTATACAACAGTGCTTTTGCTTTATCATATAAATAAATCTTACAAGAAACAGCTTACTCACATTCCTACCCAATTGTTATTTTTGGTTTAGTGGACTCAACAATTACAAATATTGCTACCAGACCTGAATACCTCAGCACCTTGAAATAAACATCTCAAACTAATTTTAAGACCCTTTAAAAATTCCAGGCATTAAAGGATATACTGTATGTGCAGATAGTATTATTAATAAAGGCTAGTGTATAACATTGTTGACCTTTATTGTCAGAAAAGTTTTTTTTCTGTTATGATCTTAGTGGCTTTAGAACTTTCTAAAACAGATTTAGTCAAAACATTACTCTGCTAAGAAACGACTGTACTGTAGCTGAATTTTTAAATCTCCAGATAATCTGCTGCCATGTGTCTAGTGATACCTTAGTTTTCTTTCTATTTTTCAAAACGTTTTCTGATATTTTGATTCACAGCATGACTGAAACAATATTTCTGTCAATCAGAGTGGTGTTCATATTGCTTATCTTGTCTTACTTGTTTATTTAAAGTGATTTGCTCATAGATAAGATTCTGATTGGTTAGAAAAAAAGGTATATGAATAATAGGATCTAAAAATAAAAATATTCTATATAGGAAGAAATTCATGGTCATTTTCCCAACTTAAATATACTGCCAGACTGTTTTGTTTTCTGATGCTGCCTCCACTAACAGGATTGCATTTGAGACAGTAAAATCGTACTCAATACTATATGCCTTTGAGTATACCTAAACATTTAATAATATATTACATCCCTGATTGTTCATTTGACACATTGTCAAATGTTTAATTCAAATGTCAAATAAGAATGTGGGAATAAAAAGTGGTGAAGGCTATAGAGTATGGACACGACATTCAGAAAAGATTCAGGGATATTTTTAGATCAGCTTTAACATTGCATGCATGTCCACAACCCTGTAAGTATTTTGTCTTGGTTGGAGTATAACATTTTGGTTTTGTGTGAAGGCTCTACTTCTGATGTCCCTATCTCCATGTAATCCTTCCTTGAGAGAAAGCTACCCATGGCCAGTCAATTCCCCTAGAAAATTCAAGTAAAATCTTGAAATGTGTTAGAAGAGGCTGGGTTAGTGATCAACCTCGGATTTCTGGCACAGGAATATTCTGCAGATTAGCAGATACTGTTATCTTCAGAGGCGAGGTCATTTAATTAATTTAACAGGAGGAATGCTTTATTTGTTTCCTAAAGAGTTTTCAATGCTTCACAGGTTTCACAAAGATAATAATCATCCTTTAGTAGGAGCACTGAACTAAATATAGCTAAGGTCCAGAAAATACTTCTCAAACAGGCTTGGCAATAGAGCATAACAATAATTAAGGTGTTGACATCTCATTGGCACATACTGTACATTATCGTGAATTATATAAAAATCTGGTCTTTCAATAAGTTGCAGTGGACAAAAAAATATAACCAGTCCTTGGAAAATCACATTATTTCACTAAAATATAAAAAAAGATGAAAGCACATATAAAGGAACATGTTTCTGATGCCAATTTTTATTTCTTTGCAAAAATTATTCATTTGAAAGTTGTACTAAAATCAGTGGGAAAGGAACTGTACATTCTGTGCTTCTATCATAAAACATGTACAAAGTTTGGTATTTTTATTATAAACAGCTTGAGACATTTACCTCAAAATTATTTCTCTTAGTCGTTCTGGAAAAATGAAGAAGTGGGGTTGAGGTAGTTAGCTGGAGGCCTGCTTATCTCAATAAAAGATGGGAACTGTTTTCATGTGTAGAATACTTGATGCAGATGTAGAAGCTGGCAAGGTACATAAACCCTAAGTTGGCAAAATATTTTAGAAGCCACACTAATACAAATCAAGTTGTCTACATCATAATATTTGCAAATTCAAATAGATATACACACAAATATATTGGCTGTATTGCAAAGATGCCTTTCATTGTAATTCTGTCCATGAAGTAGTGCCTAAAGCTGCAGGGGAGAAAAAGTGATATAAGAAATATGTCAGTGAAGCAAAATTTAGAATATGTGATTCTTCTCTCAAAAACCACTTCACATCTTGGACAACTCCCCTGAGAAATTCTTCCATGAATTTATTTTCATGTTGAAGTTTGAATTTAATTAATCTGCAGCTTGCAATACTTTTTCTATCATGGAGATATATAGTGTCTCTCTAAAATACCCCATAGTAACATTCATTGCACTTAGCCCAAATAAGCTGACAAAAGACTAATCCAGACTTTACGATTAGAGTCATATTTGCCTGTAATGTAGACAATCAAGGTTATTTAAATTGCAGTTTAACCAGTTTCTTGTAATTTAAAGGGCTACTTGTGCGATGAGCCTTGATACCATCAAAGCTCCATCATCACTAGTGGAGATTTATGAAACTAATAGAAACAAAATAGCATCTGAAATAAATATTTCTTGAAACCACCAAGTTGATTTTAACTGTATATTTTCCTTAATATGAAAAAAATCATAATCAAGCTGTTTTTATTACTTTATAATTCCTTTATGATATGAGTTTAATTTAATTTGGCATTGCATTCTTTGTAAATATGCCCCACAATCTTCACTTTCAAATGTAATCCACTCATCTCCAAAGCCAGTTCATCATCTCATTCACTTGTAAAGGTGAAAAGATTATTTATCCTTGAAGTGCATGTACAGTACATCTATACTTGAAGGGCATGTCATTTGTCACATTTTAAGAATAATACCCTTTCATCATACAGTATGGTTCCCTAAATGTAGTAATGTACAGGCTTCTTATAAAGTTATTTGCACAGCTGAATAAAGGTTCAGCATATTCATACAGCTGAGTCATAATAACTGCACTGTGGAGCAGTGCAATTTGATACACATACAAATGAGATCATATGGAACATATTAGAGTGAATATCGTCATTAGACTGCTTCTCATGGTTCAAGAATATAATGCCATGTTCTTCCACACATGGAAACTATTATGGATGTATAAAGTGCCTGGCAATAATAGTGAGACCCATGCACAGATTTTACATTGTGTTGCTTTCAAGCTTGCAGTCATGATACTTTGAAGTTGCAGTTAATATCTACTCCACACATTCTAAGCAAAAAACAAAAAGAAAGACATAAACAGAGAATTTGAATGAAAAGTGGAAAAGACACGATGGCATAAGTGTTTTGCTGTGGCAAACCTTTAATTAAATGAGGTGCACTAAATTATCATAACGAGTCACACAAATAGTTGAAAGGCCTCTATCTGTGGGTAATAAAAGTGATTCAAATGATTTCAGGATAAAAACTCCTCACTCTGTAAGGTCTCTCAGTCAGGTAGTGAATTCGAAGCAAAGATTCAACCATGAAGACCAAGGAGTTTTCAAAACAACCCAGGGATAATGTTATAGAAAGGCACGGATCAGGAGAAGAGTATAAAAACATTTAAACAATTCTTAATATCTCTTAGAGCGTAGTGAAGTTAAACCTTATGATTTGGAAGGCACCCACCCAATGACTAGACCAGGCTGTCCCTCCAAACGCCTTAAGCAGTTACAGTAAGTGATGATGGAACTGGTTAGGAATACCACCACGATTTTGAAAGAGTTATAGAGTTCAGTGCCTGACATGGGAGAAAAAGCCCATGGGTCAACAATATCTCTGTCACTCCAAAAGGAGGCTTACAAATAAGCGCCTGATACTGCAATTATGTAGCAAAAGGTTTTGTGTTCAGACAACAAAAAATTTGAACTTTTTGGTCTAAATGCAAAACATCTGATGCAAACCCAATGTCGTGTATCACTCAGTATATGCAACTTTCAAGCAGGGTGGTTACAGTTACAGTAGTAAGTTAGTTACAGTACTGTATGTTATAGTTTTGCTTTTCATCAGCAGGGACTGGGAAGTTTGTCAACACTAATGGGAACATACCATTGACAAAGTTTAGAGGAAAACCTGTTTC